CCTAGTGAATATGTATGACTCTATTGTGTAATACAGATCCTATGAAGCATAAAAACCAACCTGCTCTTTCCCTCTTTGAGGAGAGATCATGTTCGGTCTGGAGAATATCTTTTCCCAGTTTACAAACTGAAATTGCCTTTAAAGCTCTCCTTTATGCTATTTAGCCATCCTGGTGGTCTTTTGAAAGACAAATGAAAAAGGTAGAAAACTCAATGAAGAGATTTAATATCAGAAAGGGAGAACAGGGAGAGCAATAGGAAGGAGGAAATTATTAAGTAAATAATACAAAAATGTTTCCCAGAACTGAAGGAGATTGGTTTCCAAATTAAAAAGGATGTGCCATGCATCCAGAAAAATAAAAACAAAAATAGAAATATATCAATCACATCATCAAGTGAAAGAGAGGATCATCCCAAAAACTTTCGAAGAGAAAACACAAGTCATACACAAAGTATCAGGAATCAGATGACATCTGTTTTCTCAATGCAGAAATGAAGCCTGAAAATAAAGAAACAGTGGCCTTCAAAATTCTGAAAGAAATTATTTTCAACCTAGAATTCAATATGTCAATGAAAAAGAAGCCAAGCTCTGTAAAATAATTTAAAGAGGTTTATTCTGAGCCAAGTTTGAGGACCATGACCTGGAGCCACACCCCAGAAGCCTGAGCAAGTGGACTTAGTGTGATTGGGTTATAGTTTGGTTTTATACATTTCAGGGAGACGGGAATTACAGGTAAAGTGATAAATCTATACATGGAAGGCATACATTGGTTTGGCCTGAAAAGGCAGGACATCTCGAATTAAGGGCTTAGGAGTCATAGGTGGGTTTAGGGATTCTTTAGCTGACAGTTGGCTGAAAGAGTTAAGCTTTGTATAAAAATCCAGAGTGATTGGAAAAGAAATGCTTAAGTTAAGATAAGGAAGACTGTTAATCAGAGACAAGCCACTGGATATATACCTAGTCTCAAGTGATCTGTTAAGTAAACTGATGACCTGCAGGTCTGATTTAAGTTTTGTCTTGTATAGTCTTATGCCTATTAATGAGTTACAAAGGATATCTCCAAGAAGGGAAGTAGGGCATGATGAGGTGAGTCTGACCTCCTTTCTCATGGCCAGCAACTCAGCTTTAGGGTATTTCCGGAGTCCCCTTGGCCAAGAGGGGGGTCTCTTCAGTCAGCTGGGTGGGGGGACTCTTAAGATTTTATTTTAGTTCACAAATACTCAGCCAACTATAAATCAAGTGTGAGAGTAAAATAAAGGCATCTTCAGAAATACAAGCTCTCAAAAAATTTATATCCTATGTACCTTTGCTTATTAAGGTATTCTCCACTAAAAAAAAGTAGGCCAAGCCGGGCACGGTGGCTCACGCCTGTAATCCTAGCATTCTGGGAGGCCAAAGCAGGCGGATTGTTTGAGCTCAGGAGTTCAAGACCAGCCTGAGCAAGAATGAGACCCCGTCTCTACTAAAAAAAATAGAAAGAAATTAGCTGGACAACTAAAAATATATATAGAAAAAATTAGCCAGGCATGGTGGAGCATGCCTGTAGTCCCAGCTACTTGGGAGCCTGAGGCAGTAGGATCCCTTGAGCCCAGGAGTGTGAAGTTGCTGTGAGCTAGGCTAACGCCACGGCACTCACTCTAGCCAGGGCAACAGAGTGAGACTCTGTCTCAAAAAAAAAAAAAAATGTAGGCCAGGAAAAAGGAAAGCATGAGAGCAGGGAAATAGGATTCTACCCATGAGACAGGTAAAGATCATTCCTAGTATTGTGGCAAAGGGAAATCCTGGGATATCACTTTGTAGCAGGCCCAGAGAGCAGCCAGTCGAGACTTAAGGACATAGAGGTAGGCCCCAGAGGGATGATACCAAGTGGGAAAAATGGAATAAATAGATTATCTAAGGATTCTGGCAGAGTAGGAAGCACTGGGAATCTGTCTCCCCACCTACATAATTGCACTGGCAGAATCTATCTGGTGTTATCTATTTTGGAACTCTGGAGACTATTGAATGCTTGCAACTTCCAGGACATGGCTTGGACTGTAAATTGTGGCTTCTTTCAGCTAATTTCAGTTCTTAGTACAGTATAGCTACCCATTCTCCACACCTCAGCCACCTGGCACGTATTCCTGGAGCAGCTTGCACACAGCTTGCGGAGCCAGAGTGGGCAAAAAATGACTCTAGCCCAGGCAGCAGAGCAAGATCCTGTCTCAAAAAGAATAAAAAATAAAAATCTTCATTAATAATAACTTTATCATCTAGTATAAATAACTTTATTTTTTAGTATTGGTATTACAGTTTACACAGTGCCTTCATATTCATGACCTCGTTTTTTAATTTTTGTAACAATGTTGCAAACCAGGTTTTATCATCATTTTTTTTTTTCTTTGAGACAGGATCTTGCTCTGTCACCCAGTCTGGAGTGTAGTGGCACAATCATAGCTCATTGCAACTCAAACTCCTGGGCTCAAGCCGTCTTCCCTCCTCAGCCTCCCGAATAACCTGGGACTACAGGCGTGCACCACTGTGCCTGGCTTGAAAATACTCTTAACAAAATATCCATGTGACTAAATCTTTATATACCCTCTTGTTTTTTCCTTAGGAAAAATTCTTATAATTACTGTGTCAAAGAAAAATGCATCTTCTTAGACCTTTCACAGCACTCTAGCCCAGGCAACAGAGCTAGACTTTGTCTCAAAAAAAATTTATTTCTTTTTATGGTTGAATAATATTCCTTTGTATGTATATACCACATTTTAACCATTCATCTGTTGATTGCTAGTTAATGGATAGGCTAACTAACTTAGGTTTTTCCATTTTTTGGCTATAGACCTCTAATATTTTTAACAAATTGTCCCTACAAATTGTCCCCAATTTTTAACAGTCAGAAAACTGACAATTTGCACCACCAGAAATATGAATGTGCCCATTGCCCTGATACTTACCAACAATGCCATGGCATCAGCCTACCTCACAGCAACCTCAAACTCCTGGGCTCAAGCGATCCTCCTGCCTCAGCCTCCCGAGTAGCTGGGACTACAGGTGCATGCCACCGTGCCTGGCTAATTTTTTCTATTTTTAGTAGAGATGGGGTCTCGCTCTTGCTCAGGCTGGTCTCCTGAGCTCCAGCGATCCTCCCGCCTCAGCCTCCAGAGTGCTAGGATTATAGGCGTGAGCCACAGCCCCTGCCTCCACCATTGCTTTGGTCTGAATGTTTGTATCCCCCCCTTAAAATTCATATGTTGAAAATCTAGTCACCAATGTGATGGTGTTAGGAGGTGGGGGACTTTGGGGGTAATTAGATCATGAAGACTGTCCTCATGAATGCAATTGGTGTCTTTATAAAAGAAGTCCCAGAGAGCTGCCTCACTGCTCTCCGTGAGGACACAGCAAGGAGGCATCATTTTATGAACCAGGCAGCAGGTCCTCACCAGACACCAAATGTGCCACTGCCTTTATCTTGGAGTTTTTGGCCTCCAGAATTGTGGAAATAGATTTCTGTAGTTTATAAGCCACCCAGTCTATGATATTTTGTTATAGCAGCCCAAACTGAGACAACCATTAGGCCTCCCCATCTCCCTAATGAGAATAAATTGCATTTCTTTCTTAACTCTCCCTCAACACATTGTTGATACCTCCACCACAGCAATAAACTCATTCTGCCTAGGACTTAGTAATTTACATGATTTAATAGCTTCTTAAGTGAAGGTTCAACAATGTATTCATGATTGTATCCCTCCACAGACTAGCACAATGACTGACAGTGTCCGATAAATATCACAACAAACCTTTATTAAACCACTAAAAACTTCAAAAATTAAAGACTTACTGTGGTAAATCTTTTTGCAAAGCAAATAACCTCTCCCTAATAATAGTTTTTAAAGTACAGACTCCTGTAAAGTATCTGAATTTACTTACAAAGCATCAAACACCTATATATAAATCAATTAAATCTTATTTATAAAATCTTTGTGTAGGTTCCTATGAAAGGCAATCCAGGCTTTTGGTCTCACACTGAGGTGCCCACTCTGGTACTCACTAACTGCTTGGCTGTCTTACAGTCTCATTCAGTCAAATATTTGAGGATTTACTATGTCACGCACTGGGGGTGCAATGATGATAAACAGGGCTGTGTTTAACAGTTTAATGAGGCCAGGCATGGTGGCTCATACCGGTAATCCTAGCACTCTGGGAAGCTGAAGTGGGAGGATTGCTTGAGGTCAGGAGTTCGAGACCAGCCTGAGCAAGAGTGAGACCTCCTCTCTACTACAAAAAAGAAAAAATTAGCCGGGCATAGTGGGACATACCTATAGTCCCAGCTACTTCAGAGGCCGAGGCAGGAGGATGGCTTGATCCCAGAAGTTTGAGGTTGCTGTGAGCTAAGCTGACACCACGACACTCTAGCCCGGGCAACAGAGCAAGACCCTGTCGCAAAAAAAAAAAACAAACAACAACAAAAAAACAAGAAAATAGTGTAATGAGGAGGAGAAGCTGATGAGTAAGTAAGCATGACAATATAGGGTAATGAAATGCCACTACAAAAGTAAGTTGGGAGTATAATGGAAGCAAATAAGAAGAGCACCTACATTAATATTTGAGGGAAGCAAAGGCTTCCCAGAGAGGATAACATTTAAGAGCCAAAGGCTAAAAAAGTGTTGATTAGGGAGAGGAGGCCAGGAAGAGTGTTCTAGGCAGAGGGAAAAGCAATGGCAAAGGACTGAGACTCACAGAGAAATGATTCATTTGATCAACTGAAAGTAGTTCAGTAAGGTTGCAGCATAGAGTTTGACGAGAGTTGGAGAATGGAAAAAAATGATGCTGAAGTTAAGTAGGGCCAGATGTCGTGACACCTTATGAGTCAGGCTAAGAACTCTGAACTCCTGAGACACTTCATTACAGCTGCTTCCCCTCCCTTGGTCTCTACTCACAACACTTGTCTTCCTGTGCCAAACTTAGGAGATAAAATACCTACAAGGAGCTGAAAAGAAAGAGGCAAAGCCACATGTTGTCTACTTGAGTTTATTCTTCTTCTTTAAAAAATAAAAAAAATAAAAAAAAAAAAACAACGGAGGGACGGAGAGGGAAATAACCCATGAACACTGTGAACAGGAACCAAGCCTCCAAGACTTGGGCATACTCCCTCTACCCTCGACCTCAGTTCTCTGAGAGATTCCCACCCACCTGATTTTCTTTTAAACGAGAAACCCAAATCAGCAGCAAAAGTACCTGGGGTAATCACTGAGATCTTGAACACTGGGGATGGGAGAGGGAAAGTCCAAAATATAGGAGCTGGGGAGAAAAGAGAAGGAATGAGGGAGAGGTCAGGCTCTGGAGGACAGAGTTGGGCTGCAAAAGGTGGAAGTGAGCCAGTATGGGGGCTACCCCTCCTGACTGCGGCCGCCCGCATTCCCCCAGCCCCAGAGAACCCCATGGTTTGTTCTGCAGTTCATTCCTTATTTCCCAAAGGCCTCACAGGCCTAGCTCCAAGTCCTCTAACTCCTCTTCCAGCGCCCTCCTCCTTGCTAGCTTCTCCAGCTGCTCTTTGCTGGGCTGGCTGACTTCCCCAGCCTGGATCCGTTGCTGTAGCTCTTCCACTTGTCGAAGCTTCTTCTTTAGGTTCTTTATCTTCTTGGCTTTCTCGGTGCTGGCAGCTGAGTCAGGCTGGTCAGAGGCTACTGTGGGGGCTGCCCGGGAGCCCTGTGGAGCACCGGGGAGTTGGGCTGTCTCTCCCAGAGAAACCTTATCAAGAGTCCGGCTCAAGGCCTCTGCCTCTCCTTTCTCTTGCTGCTGTCGCCTCTTCTCCTTTCGCTTCAGGTTGCGTTTGGCTGTCTTGGAAAGGCCTGGTTCACCACCTTCAGGCCTGGATGGGGTGACAGGAGCAGTGGCCTCAAGGCTCAGCCCTGGGGGCAGTTCTGGTTTACTCTTGAAAAACTTCACATATTTATTCTCATACCTGCAGGAAACAGAAGATGTCAACAAAGTTTCAAAGAATCATTGACTTTCTGATCCCCTTTCTTAACCTTCCAAATCATTTCACTCTTATTATATTCCTGCTTCCTTCCTCTCTTTATGGTCCCTCCCCAGCTTTCCTCTGCTCTGCAGGAGAGGTTGTAGGAAGGTCCCTAGAACCTGAAGCTCTGGATTGCTGAATGCTATTTGGAGGCTCTGATAAACAGAGGTCACAGGACAGGACTAGTCACCTACAACCTTCACTCATCCCTGAATCCCAGCCCCTTGCTCTCCTTTCTCAGATAGCTGCCCTCCTTCCATTTCCCTAGGGCTCAGGAGAGCCTTCCCTGAACTTGTGGGCACAAGAATATTCTATCCTTCTGTAGGGAACCCAATAAATACCCCTCCTCAAGCCTAACCACGCACACTGGGACCTCCTCCTGGGGCACATAGCCTTCTTTCACCCTCCGTTGCTTGCGCCAGGTCCCGTCAGGTCTCTGTGTTGAAGCGATGTACTTGCCTAAAATGAGAAAAATTAAGTTGGAAAGTTATTCTTTCTTATTTTAAACCATTTTTCAACATGAGAGAAGAATGTATAAATGTACATATCTTCCCTCAGCACCCATCTGTCCACCAAATGTAATCATTAAAGCACCTTGTCTCATATCAACCCTCAACCCCTCTCTCATCATTATTTACTGAGTGCCTATACACTGTACAAAATACCTTTCTTGCCCTTAAGGAGCTTCTATTGTGGTAACTTATTTGGAAAGACACAACAGGCACAGAGGAAAAATTTTTTAAAAACACAAGGCGATAAGCATGGGAACATGAAAGGCAGTAAACAAACAAGAGGCTAAAAAGAGACAAAAACAAGAACCATAGAAGGAGAAATGACCAGAGATGATGTTGTAGACAAGGGGAAATTTTATTTAGATGCATCTTGAAAAATATGACAACTTTTAGGAATCCATACTATAGATATACAAGCATGGTACATAAGGATATATGTAAAGGATGTGTGTTGATGCATGATTTAAATTAGCAAAAAGCCGAGAGCAACTTAAATGGCCATCAATAAATGATTAAATAGATTTGGTTTATCCGCACAATGGAACACCAAGGTGTTACTAGAAAGAATGTTAGGGGCCAGGCATGGTGGCTCACGCCTGTAGTCCCAGCTACTGGGGAGGCTGAGGCAGGATTGCTTGAGCCCAGGAGTTTGAGGTTGCAGTGAGCTATGATCGCACTGTGGTCCTCTGCACTCTGGGAAACAGAGTGAGACCCCATCTCTAAAAAAACAACAGAGCAGCTTTGTGGAGGGAGGACTGAGACTAGAGCTGGGCTTTGAGGAAAGGGTCAAACTAAAGTAAATGAAAAGGGAAACAGAGTAGATTTGAAACAGAAGTTCATTCTAAAGCAAAAATTCAGACATGGGCATATATACGGCATTTTCAGGAGATGGCAAATAGACCAGTCTGGCTCAGCCAGAGAGAGGACTAGTGCAATGAAGGGAGAATGTTCAGACCTCGAATACCAGTTAAGGGGTTTAACATCTGGCACATGGCATGCATTCAATAAATATTCGTCAAATGAACGAATCCTTTATCCAAACTATTGTTTTAGGGCTTTGGATAAATGAATGAATCCTTTATCCAAAGTAGTGTTTTAGGGCAATTAATCTAGCATGATAAGAGGGTGGATTGGAAAAGAAAAATACCAGAGACTGGGGAAAAAGTTAGGGAAAAAAGACTGCAACAATCCTGGCATGAAGGGGCAGAACAGGCTGAAACAGTGAGAGTGGAAAGAAGAGACTGATGCCAGATACATTATCAAAGAATCAACACTTGGTAATTAACTGACTAGGGAGGAGTAAAAAGGTTAGAAATCAGAGGTAATTCAACATATTTTGTATTAGTAATCCCAATATTGAGAATTTGGCATAAGGCAAGCGTCCTAACAGGAAACAATAAAAACAAAAAAAAGGGGGAATATATAATCATGTGAAAATTATGACATTAACCATACATAGCTAAAAATTAAAAACTTCACATCCAATTATATGGGAATGGCTAAATATATATGTCTGTTAAAAATGATGATAAAAAATTTCAAAAAATCATCTAATATATGACATAATATAAAACACAATAAAATTATATATACCCCATGATTTCAACTATTAAATGTGATGATATCTATAATTTTAGAAAGGAATGTATAATAATGAAAATGTTATGTTAGGGTTGTATGATTATAAATAATTTTTCTTTTTAAAAATTCCCATTTATGTTGTTGTTAAATTACAGGTTTTTTTAATATATGGTTTTACATTTCAAGCCTAAATGGCATAGAGAATTATAGGTACACAGAGAAGAGTGAAATTAATTTTGACCGTAAAGATTTTGTGCAGGACACAGCATCTGTTGTGATCCTTGGAAGATGAGCAGTGTTTAGACAGGTGGAAGTAGGTGTGTGGCTAAGGAAAGAGGAGAAAAGGAAGTATTTCAGGCATAGGGACAAGAGCAAAGGTAAAAATAAAACTAGTCACACCTCTACTTAAAATTCTTCCTGGACTCCTATTGCCCTCAGGGTATTTACATGGAGGATGAAGCTGCACACAAAAGGCCTTCTTGACCTAGCTTCAGCCTCTTAGCATCTACTCTCTTTGCTTCAGACACTGAAATATTCACAAATCTCACCCAGAGGCTTGTCTCTATTCTCTAGACCTTTCTGCTTTTGCTTCCCTTAGCCTGGAAGAGACTTTCCTTGCTTATCTTAGTTAATTCCTACTGCTCTTTAAAAGTTCAAGTATAAACTCAAGACAGCCTTCCCTGATTTCCTCAACCCAAGCCTGGTTAGAAGTTGCCTTTTGTGCACTCACAGCACCTGTTTTAGCCTTTATCATGCTTAATGTTTAACATAATTGTTTGCTTGAGAGCAGAGATTGTCTTTTTTTTGTTTGTTTCTTGAGACAGAGTCTCACTCTGTCCCCCCAACCCCTCTGCCCCGTAGATTGCAGTGGCATCATCATAGCTCACTGCAACCTCAGACTCCTCAGCTCTAGCGATTGTCCTGCCTCAGCCTCCCAAGTAGCTTGGGACTACAGGTGTGAACCATGATGCCCGGCTAATTTTTTCTATTTTTAGTAGAAACGGGGTCTCCCTCTTGCTCAGGCTGGTCTCAAACTCCTGAGCTCAAGCAAGCCTCCCTCCGAGGCCTCCCAGAGTGCTAGGATTATAGGTGTGAGGCACCTCCCCTGGCGAGAGATTGTCTTTTGAACTTTGTACCAAAGAGCCTGGCCCACAGAAGACAACAAATATTGACTGAATTCATGAATAAATAAATGTAAGTGTCACATTAGGGAATAGCAAGAATCCAGTATGTTTTGGGCAAAAAGCATATGTAATGGGAAGAGAGTAGGGGTAAATTAGTGAGATTATTGAAAGATCTCCCGTCTCCACTGAGTTGGGACTGAAGCCTTAGGCTGCAGGAGAACACTGAAGGCCAATAAGGGAGTAGAGGTGATTTGCTCAAAGCAATGCTTTAAGATTAATCTGAAAATATGTACCATAAACTAAACACAGAGTAAATGAAAGCCATAGCTTCAATGTGAGAAGGTTTAACTTAGATGGTCTCTATGGATATTGAAAGGAAAATGAAATTCATTATGAAGGATAAACTAACAGGGTCCTAAGACTGCCAAGATTTGAATTAGAGAGGAAATAAAACAGTGCTACAGTGGGTCTGGTGCTTTTTACATGTATTCTCATTTTTCACAACATATCTGTGAGTAAGTAGTGCATATGGTAATAACATTTATTCACACATGTATTTTAAATGTTTATTGCACACTTACTGTTGTGCCAGGCACTGTAACAGGAGCTAGGGATACAACAATGAATAAAACAAGCAAGGTTCCTGCCTTCTTGTAGCATACATTTTAGTGAGGAAGATAATAAACAAGATATTTATTGTTTATTATGATGTTATTTGCTAATTACAAGCTAATTATCACTCTTGAATGTGGAAAATTGGAAAATAAAAACCACTGATAGAAACAAAGTGCAGAGGAAAAGATAACTTTGTGAAAATAATTAATTCAGTTTTATTTTTGGAGACAAGGTCTCTCTCTGTCACCCCAGCTAGAGTGCAGTGGCGTCATCATAGCTCACTGCAACCTCTAATTCCTGGGCTCAACTGATCCTCCTGCCTCAGCCTCCCCAGTAGCTGGAACAACAGGTACTAGCCACCACGCCCGGCTAATTTGTCCATTTTTTTGTAGAGACGGGGTCTCGCTCTTGCTCAGGCTGGTCTGGAATTCTTGGTCTCAAGCAATCCTCCTGCCACGGCCTCCCAAAGTGTTAGGATTACAGGTGTGAGCCACTGTACCCGGCCTAATTCAATTCTAGACAAGCAGTGTTTTTCATGGAATCAGGGAGAAATGGGGACAATACTAGAAACATATATTTAAGTTAACTGCATAGAGAGTATAGTTGAAGGTTTAAGAGTAGAGATAGACTGTGAGGAAAGGCAGGTATAATCTTTTCAAATGGCCATCCTGTGTGGAAGCCCTCAGAAATACAAATAGCCAATTATCACAAAGGAGCACCTATTTTATGTTATGTTGGTTCCATCCTCTGGCCTTGATGGTATCCAAAGGTGAAGTCAAAAAGAAGGAAGAGATTTGATGGGTCCTACCCCTAGAAATAAAAACCAAGGGCAGAATATCAGGACTTTCAGATAACATCTTTAAGAGAGTCAGAAACTACAGTTTGGGGACTACTACTATAAGAATTTTTTAAGCTTTGTTATTTTCCCACGTTTGCTGTTTTGTAATCCTCGATCTGTTTCCTTGTATCTATTAGCAATAAAAACCCTTAAACTGAAAAGGGCCCCGTTTTCAGGGGTTGCAGGAAGACAGGGAAGGGACAATACTGCAAGGCTTGGGAGAACTCCAAGGAACTAGGGAAAGTGACTGTTAAAGATATGTTGAGTCCCCAGGACCTGCTTCAAGTAAGAAAAGAGATCAGAATCACAGATCTGAGTCTAAGGATGATCTCAGGGCCAACAACGATAAGACCTAGATGTGGTTTCCTACATAGAGAAAATATAAAAAGAGAAGATCAGACTTGGGAGGAATGAGCCTGGAAAAATGGTCATGATCATTTCCCTCAGGGAAGAAAAGGTACCAGCAATGATAGGAAATGATTCCCGGGAAGGGAGAATTAGGACAGGGCTATGCCATGGAGAACAAGAGTTCTATAGAACAAGTACTATACTAAGTGCTACAAGAATTATCAAGATAAGCAAGATGGTCCCCTACTTTTAAGAAATTTACAGTCTAAGAAAGGAGGAGGTAGGCACATCAGGCAAGCAAAGAATAAGACAAAAGTAAAAATGTCACAAGTATCATAAGAGGCACAGGTAAATACTAATAAGAGATTTCAAAGGAATAAATAATCACATCACGTTTGATGGGAGAAGGTAATAGGAAATCAGGAAAGTTCAAGGACTTGA